TCCTTTTTTTTTTTTTTTTTAAGAATTATGTTATTTAACTTTATTTATTTATTTATTTTAATTAGACCAGAAAGGGACAGAGTGAGAGAGCGAAGAAAGAAAGAGAGGGAGAGGGAGAGGGAGAGGGAGAGGGAGAGGGAGAGGGAGAGGCGCAGGCCTTGGCCTGCCATGCCCCTGGTGGGGTGGGGGAACTGTGGCTGCCCCATGTTCCCCATTTATCCCCCAAAGGTAGCTGTTTGGAGCATGGAGCAGGTACCTACATTCCAGACTTTGGGGGCAGCACCCCAGAGATACTCCTGGAGCCAGAAGTATCTGGCTTGCTCTGCTCCTTAACCTACCTCATTGGGTTGATCCTTGCGGTGGTATCTGGGAATTAGCTGGAAACTTCTGCCTGAGAACCCACAGAGATGTCCCTGCTCTCCCCTGGATCCCCTGCCCCTGGGAAGGGCCCTGATCCTACCCAGGGGCCAGGCCCTTACCTGGGTGCTGGTGAGGTCTGGTGGCTTGTGCCCCTGAGGGGGCCAGAGTTTGAGCCGGGGGTTGGAATCTGGTGGTGGAGAGACAGCAGCTTCCTTGCTAGTGGCCACAGGCAGAGCCCTGCCGGTGAGCAGGTGCCCTGTGAAGTGGGGCTATGGACGTGGCCACACCTGTGCTCTTTGGACCCTGGTGGGCGGGGAGGCCTCCTGAGCCACTACGTGCCCAGCGCTGAGCAGGACCATGGCCGTGCCTGCGCCGACAGGTACCTGCGTAGCCGGCAGCCCTCGCTTCCCAGCTCCCTCCGCTGCGTGCCTCTGCCCTGGCGTGTGCCCATTTCCTTCCTCTGCCTTTTGGGCACCTCCTCTGGAGCACCGGGTCAGCATCAGGCACTGGGGCTGGGACCAGAGGGAGAAGGTGCCCTGGCTCAGTCTGGGTCTGTGGTCAGGGGACAGGTCGTGGAGGTGGGCCTCAGGCGTGTGAGAAGCTGTGAGCTGGCACGTGTATTCTGTGTGTTTTGTGCGTGACTGCGTGATCCTGTGTGCCCGAGTGGTGCTGTGAATGGGACATGGGTCCTGTCCGAGAAGATGGGGATGACCATGCCCCATCCCCATCAGGGCCTCCTCTTTCCTCCCCTCATCCTCTCCTCCGCAGCGGAGAGCCCTCTCACCCACCCCTTCTTGTTCTTCTGCTCTTTCCTTCTCCACCCCACTCCACCCCATGCCCCTAGACCCCGATGGGTGCTTGGCTGACCTCAGCAACACTGGGAAACCGAGGCCAGCCTCCACCTCTGTTCGTGAGCCCACCCAGTCCCTGTGCTTTATCTTACTTAAAAACCTCTCTCGGCACTCAGGGTGAGCCAGGTGCCCTGCCCTGCGGGAACGCGCAGCCTAACGCGCAGGCCAGGAGTGAGCAGAAACCAGAGAAGGGTGGAAGGGGAGGGAGAGGAGGGAATGCCAGTGTGAGGTAGATTTCTGTGGGACAGGTGTCCGGGGCCCTGCTGGAGCTAGGGTCTGGGAAGGAGTCCTGTGACATCTGGAGGAGCCCGTGTCCTACCTCCCTGGGACGTCCCAGGGCTCCTGAGCTCACTTCCCACCTCATTTGACTGGTTCTGCCCTGGATGGTTTGAAGTTTAGGGACTGAATCAGCTGGGGCCCTTCCCTGCCTGGGCTGCTGTGGGCCCCAGAGAGAGTTCATTGGGCAGCTGGCCTCTGGGGCCCAAGGATCGGGCGCCTGTTGTGTCAACACCTAGCCATGGCCCCAGCCCTCCTGACAGCTCTAGCTGTCCTGTTCTCTGGTCACTCCATGGCCTCCTCCAGCTTCTTTCAGAACAGGATGCTTGTCCCCTCTTTGCCGCCCCCAGGCTCAGCCTCTGTTCTGTCAAGGCCATAGCCACATTCCATCCCCAGCTCTGGCTTGGGCCCAGCAGAGACCTTGCTCTGCTGCTTGGGCCAGGCCCCGCCATGCCACATCCTCTTCTCAAGTCAGTGTGCACATAGCAGGGGCTCTCGGGGAGACCTGGGGACAGGGCTCCATCTTCTGCAGGAGCCACGTGATATCCTGGGGCAGAGAAACAGAAGTCACAGGGCATCCTTGGCCTTTAGGGGTGCCCTGGGAGCGTTTGGGACTCCTCAGACAGGAACCCTGTAGCCTGGGTTGGGCTGGCCTGGGGTTCCTTTGATGCCAAGCCCGCTGATGTCTGCTGGAGTGAGGCCACTCTGGGGAGAAGGGCGTTAGGACGGATGGGGGTGGGGCAGCTACCTAACCTGGCACTCGAGGGCCATAACTGATACTTCTGCAAGCAGAGCTCCCCCGCGTGTAGCAGTTCTTTTTTGTCCTAGAGAACTTTTTTGCTATAGGGTACGTGCACCCACCAGAGAGACAGAGAGCGAGAGACAGAGAGAGAGAGAAAGTGAGAAACGACCCCCTAGGGGGGACGTCCATGCCACAATCCCGTCTCCCTTCTGATCAGCGCGGGAGTTTCGACTTGCTCTGTTTCTGACCTGGGCTGGGTCACACCTCCTTGGGCAAGCTGGTGGTCCCCCGCTCCCGGGAGGTCACCATATTGATGCTGAGCTTAGGGCGGACACCCGATCGGCACAGCGCACTACAGCCCAGAACTCCTGGACTCGAGTGATCCTCCTGCCTCAGCCTCCCTGGCAGCTGGGATTACAGGCACACGCCACTGCAGCTGGCCCCTTCTCCCTTCTCTTCTCAGGATTTTGGGCACACATGCACACGTGCTTGGTGTGACTTTCAAGCTGTCAGGGCCGGGACTTGAACCATGGCCAGCCATGTGGGAGTCCAGTGCTCTAACCATACACCACCTGTTGGCCCCTGGGTGCAGCAATTCTTTAGCAAAGCAGTCCTGGGTGAGCCAGCAGGAGCTAGGACTCAGGAGGGAAGGAAGCAGAGCTCAGAGTATCTCCTTGAAGCTGTGGCTACAAAGCTCAGGGCGCCTCGTTCACTCATTCAACAATTCACTGATT